GGGGCTGGTCACTTCGAGTTCAGGGTCCGATCTGACTGCAACAGTGCTGTTTTTTTGCGTATGACGCCCTTCCTGCTGCGATGTAACAGGACTTCCCGTGTTGGCTCTACAAGTTCCTCTGCTATGCATGCCATGAGTAAGAAAAACCCGTAAGCCCCGTAGATCATGCTAGTTGAGGTGAGGCGAAGCGCAGAAACCAAATTTCAAATCCCAACAGAACCCCAACTCACAAACCCTTCCTATAAACCCTTGGATATTTGAATTGAGATCTGAAACCCCCAAAGACTTTTAAGGTGATATGCGCTTCAAACCCCATCGAGAGTCATTCAACTTCTTCAAAAGGCCGGCCGAGGCTTACAAACCAGAACATGCAGGCTGATTCAGGCTCAAGAAAAAAGCTTTCCTAATCCCACAAACCCGAAAACTGGGGCTTAGGTTCTAAACCCGAAAACCTAAGATTAAGCCTTAAGCCCTGCTGCTGCCAAAAAGGCACCTCTTGGCCGTAGCGGCTCCGGTGTTTCTCATCGCGAGCTGAGATCTCAGCAGTTCATGGCAACGGCTCCTTTCTCTACTAATTCCGGACTGGAAATGGACCGAAAAAACGGCATGAACATAAGGATTGGACAAAAAGAGGGTTAGTTGGATACCCGGTTAGTTGGATAAGCGGACCGCAAGCCTTGTAGGCTAAAGGTTTGGGACTGGGGACTGTCCTGTGCTGCGGAAGTCCACAGCAGCGTTTGATATCCCAGAGGTAGGGTCCCTCTGATCCGTATTTGTATGCCTTCTCGTACCCTTACGGGTTTGTCAGAGCTTTGTAGGGTTTAGAGACAACCAGTGTACTTTAGAAGTCGGACTTCATTTTGACTGGATGCTATGTGCACATACCCGTTTTCGAGCCCTACTTTCCCTGTAGAGGCTCGCGGTCTGGGGATGGAGGTTGAGTGTTCAGGGCTGGGGACTCTCGGATGGTGTTGATCAGCCTAGCCTGTGATGACACTCCTGTGCGCACTTCTGCACCACATCACAAACTAGATGGAAACCCTGAAATGCAAAGCCAGCAAAGCTCTGGATGGCAGAATCCATGCGTGCCTTTATTTATGCACTTTCACACGAGATCACGCCAACCCACGCACGCACCCCAAAACTCTCTAATGCGCTTGTAGTCCCAGATCCGAACTCATGATTCTCCCACGCACGTCAGAGTCTCAGCCCCAGAGCCAATATAGTGCTGCATCTGATGATGGTGATGGTGATGGTGATGGTGATGGTGATGGTGATGGTGATGGTGATGGTCGTGGTGGTGGTGGTGGTCGTGGTGGTGGCTGCGGTGGCGGTGGCGGTGGTGGTTAGGCTAATATTGATGGGACAGGTGTCGGCGACGAAGGTTGTCCAGTTACCTCCTTCGTCATATCAACTGTAATTATGCTCCAGCTTTTCATGGTTCTTGTTGGCATGGTTGCGAGGGTTCTCCTTGGCCAGGTCTAGCAATGCCCGCGGGCGTGGGCGGAGGACTTCTGCACTCTGGTTTCGATGTGGAGCTGTTAAGCAGTTCAAGTTTAGAGTGTTGGTCTGAGAAAACGCAGGGAAGGATAGTCTTGTTTGAATTGTTTTATGCCTGTTTGAGAGCTCACCCAGCCCTTGCAGAATATCCTTGGGTCATTGGAAGGGATTGGTGCTTGGTAGAGAGATCTGTCGCTGCGATGCTGAATTGGATGATGTAGGCCGTGTGCACAGCAGAGACACAGGACATGGTCATCAAAACGTAAAGGCCGAAGGCCCCAGCCCCAAGACGCCCGCAAAATATAGCCCCAAACCCAAGCCCCCACTCCCCATCAGCCCTGGAGGCTCTAGACCTTCTTTTTTTTTTTTTGCGATATCCCGAAATAAGGATCCCTTAAGAAAGCTTTGCACTGTAGGCTTTTTTGGGGCGCCCTGCGAGTCGAATATTTCGCATCAATTCCTCAGAGACTTCAGTGAGAGCAATAAATGTACCTGAAATCAGAGGGTGGGGGGATCCTCATATCATATGATTGCAGGTATATTCCTGAAAACAAGGGGTGTGGAGTCTCTGGGCTCACTGACTACCATCTCTGTGGCTTTCGGGGTTGGCATAAGGTGCTCGGAGCTTTCGGAGTTCCTCTCGTTTCTCAGTGGCACCTTTCTTACCGTGACTCTGCCAACGGTTTAGGGTTTAGGGTTTAGGGTTTAGGGTTTAGGCTTTACGCATCTACATACCAGAATCCAGAACAGCAGACTTCTTTGCTTCTTACTGTCACACTGCCTCTAGACCGAAGAGGCTGGCATTCCCATCCAAGAACACACTTTTGGGACCTGATCCTCATCCAGAACCCTGTTTCCAGAAAAAGAAAGGTGGACGCCCAGACACGAAACCCGGTAGGGATTCAGGTTCAAGGGCTCAGACTACGCTAAGCCCTAAACCGTGCAAACCACCTCGAATCTCCAGAGTTGGGTTTCAAACGTCCTCGCCACCCTCCTCAACCCATTCAAGACTCTTGAGGAAGGCTTCCTATCCATGAAGCCAAGGCGTGAACAAGCCATGACTCTTGGCCAAGGTATGTGCCGCTGCTGATTGTGACACACGTTGCAGGGCCTCGTGCCCTAGCTGTGTTGCGATCCCCTGTCGCCTTTCGGACTCAGGCACATAGATCGGCTGTAGGAAGCGCTTCGGGCGTCATGTTGTGGCTGTTAGAGGTTAGCATATTCCGAGCTCTGTAGTTCTACAGCGTCTTGTTGATCTGGTCACAGCATTTCATCTGGTGGTGTGTTTTTGTGTGGTTTCGCACTGTAGGTTCTGTGATCCTGAAACCCAAGAGACCAAACAAGAATTGATTGAAAGCCCAAAGTCCTAATGTCCAAACTGCATGACGAATGACATAACTTGCTGAACCTTGAAGGCCCCCTACAACCCCCGGAGTGCACCAGCTCAGGGCTGGCGGCAGTCTTGGCTCAGCCGATCATCGTCGGCGCAGCCCTGGCGGGCAATGCGGCTGGGACTGCCCTGAAAGGCCATCAACAAAAGCATAAAAGCATTACATGAGCCACAAAGCGCTAGAAGAAAAGATACAAGACTTAACTCGGATCAGGCTTCCCATTCGGTTCTACATCGAGACCAACCTTGAACAGAGGGCCCAGCCAGGGGCCCGAAGAAATGTCAAGCCTTAGACGCTGCACCGTAAGCCTTAGAGCCACAACCCTAAACCCAAGCGACAAATCAAGCAACTTCAGATTTGCAAGATCAGGCTCATATAGAAGCCTGATTAATCAGTAGTACTAGGTTTAGGCTGTATAGGCGTCCTGAATATGTCTGCAAGCCAGAAGACAGCAAGAACCCTATTGAAACTATTCGGGCTCTGGTTCAAACCGGACCGTAAGCCTTTGGTTCAAGGTCTTTAACATCTGCTGGCAGCTGCGGCACAAGGCCATTGCTTCTGTGGATCGCGGTTCATTGCTTTGTTCGCTCCGAGGCTTCTTCTGAGTCTGTTGCCTTGGGGTTTAGGGTTTAGGGTTTAGGGTTTAGGGTTTAGGGTTTAGGGTGTCAGTTTTCATCGCCGGGAGAATGATCCGAAGAAATTTGGAATTTTGAGGGGCTGTGGGCAGCTCCTCCTTCGCAACATGGGGCCTTCATACTTCTCCCCCCACAGCAAGCCCTGTACTTAGGGGTACTTAGAAATAACTGTTAATCTTTGGCTACTCTAAACCCTAAGAAGCAGCTAAACTTATAATTTTTGCTAGGGGTCTAAGTTCTGTATAGACTGAATGTTATTGGGCTTCAAACCCTAGGGTTTAGGGTTTAAGGGTTTAGGGTTTAGGGTTTAGGGTTTAGGGTGATAAACCCTATAGTATACAAACTCCAACACTGGAGCCCAGCCTTCCTAAGCCTGCAGACATTCTCGAAGCACAAAATTCCAATCACGAAGCCAAGACGCCATCCTTTGCTTGCTTTGGGGGTTTAGGGCCTTTAGGGTTTAGGAAGTTTATAGGGCTTTAGGGCCTTTAGGGTTTAGGAAGCTTATAGGGCTTATAAGGATAGTGGGGAGATAAGGCCCAGATGTGGCCTTTGTGGGGCTGGGCCAGGTGAGCCTCTTGGCGTAGAGCCCTTGAAATCTCCACGGCAAGAGGGCCCGGGCCCCAACCCAAAGGCTCCCCAAAAAAACCTGTCACCCCAATTTTAGGGTTTAGGGTTTAGGGTTTAGGGTTTAGGGTTTAGGGTTTAGGGTTTAGGGTTTAGGGGCCTGAATAAACAGTAACTTCAATTTTGTTCCTGCGGGTGGCTTAGGCTATCTACACTGTAAGAATATACTGGAAAGCCCCCTATTCGAATGGCTAAGGCGCCCATACTGCCCAAACTACAGGGGTACCTCGGTGTGGGTCCTTCGATCCAGGATGCTAACACTGCATGCATTTCAAGACTCCCGCCTTGCACCACTGAAGCTTTCCAAGGTCTTCCAGGAAAGACTTGGGCTATCTCATTTAGGGTTGGGGGCGGCGGTTAAGCCTGCACAGGACATCTATCATCAACAGTCGTTCTTTTTGAAACCCCGGCCAAGATGGTGGCAACCTTGTGACAGTCAGTTTTCGCCTTGTCTTGGGCTAGAGGCTGCTAGAGGAGTGAGGTTTTGAATCAAGGCTTCTGTTGAAGTTTGGATGTAGGGTTTGCATGGCCTCTACATGGGTTGGGCTTGGGGTTTGGATTGGGAGCGAGTGTTTCGACGGGGTATTACCGTGGCTTAGAATGTGGTTGCCCTGGCAGGACTAACTAGAGTTGGTACCTTCCCCCATTGCCAGGAAAGCCGAACCCCAAACTCAAGATGAGCAGTGAAAGCACCCAATTGCCCTGAAGCAGCAGATCGCTGCTTGTTGCCAGACACCCCCTATTTAAAACCCGCATAGCCGCATTAGCCCTCCACTCTACAATGCCCGTTGAGCCCAAGAAGCTAGAAGAGGAGTGCCGGCTGCTCGATGGTCAGCTCGCCCTTGCGATGATTGCTCCCTGCCTTGCCGGTAACCTCGTGGGAACCATCATGAAGCTTGGCTGTTGTGGGCCGAGGATGTCGGCCTTATGGTTCAGGACTCAGGTTTCATAAATTCGTGGTTAATGTTCGAAGCCACGTGACCAATGAAGAGCGCAAGACTGTATGAGCCGCATGAGCTTATAATCCCAAGCAGCTCCTTTTCCTATTCCTTCGGGTCCATGCAGGGTTTGAGCCTTGCACTTCAGGAACCAGCTCTTTCCATCGGTGGTCATCATGGTATTGCTGCTGCTCTTGGTTAGCTGTGCCGAGGCTACATTCAGAAAGAACAGCTGATTTTCTCAGCTGCCTGGAAAAAAGCCAGACACCACAACTAAGCCGGTGTGCCCGCCTCCCCCCTGTTCTCATGCTCAACATCCTGACGCATGCGGTGTCTTGCATCATTCGTGCCAAGCATGGCAACACGACAAACGCCAGCCCACCAACATCACTCATTTGCGCATGAAACCGTACTTGATGCCCTAAACATCACCGGACTCCACGAGCCTAAACTCGCAAGACTGCACTCGCTCATCCCCATCCAAAAGTAAATATTCCACGGCACAGCCAAGAAGATAGACTTACGAGGCACCTTCTCGACTTCTGCACGGCGAGCCCTGAACATGTGGCATGCAGAGAACGAGTGCCGGACTCAGACTGGCTGCCGCGACAACAGCTTTTCAAGACGGCGGCGACAACACTTGAAGCTTGCCACTGCTTCCTGCTGCTGCACTATTGTTGTCTCTACAACATCTACACATGCTGGTGGTTGCACTACGGCGACAACTGTTGCTAGTGACTCCTCTATTCTGAAAGGGCTGCCCGAGGCTTTCGTGAGTCTTGCCTCTTGCCCTCGGGCTGGGGTGTTCTGTCATGCTTGTTTGTGACCCAAATGGGGGTTTCCGAAAATAGGGGACCCTAATATAGTACCCTAAATAATAGGATCCTTATAATAAGGACCCCAAAATAAGGTACCCCCTATTTTCGGAAAGTCCCAAATCGGTGAGCACAGGAAGCCACAGAATGCCCCAGGTCACGCTGTGCCCTTCAAGCATCCCGTGCAGTGCCAGCAGATACCTCTAGGTTGGGGCCTTGGGCTGAAGTGTATGGGCGTTTGGGGTTGGTGGCTAGATGTCTAAATAAAGCAGTAAAGGGTAGAAAAAGCTTCAAGGGATCCGGCTAAGCCATCAATCCGAATGGCTTAGTAGCCTCAAACCCGAGCCCTCAAACCTGAATTTGTTACGCAACAGCCGGAATCCAGAAGTGGAGAGCTCAGTGCTGGACAGGCAGTCTCACTCTGAAACAGTTGCCCCTAAAGCCAACCGCACACCCTGTACTCCTCTCACGCCATCTAAAACCTTTACACACTAATCCGTCTTTAGTTGAACCCTGGAATTCGGTTTGGGTAGGATGCTGAGAGCCCCCACTTGGTAGGTTCCGTGTTTCGGCCAAGAGAAGGATCGAACAGCGCCTCTGGAGCAGTGAGGATTCAGTGAGGTTCAGTGAAGATCTCTCAAACTGACCTTTGATAGAATCTGAACAATGCAGAACATGTTGATACAACCACGAGATCTCGTAAGCAATCAGGGCATCTTGCTTCCTGCCCCCCTTATGAAGCCTTTACAACCCTACAGAACCTTCCATAAAGCTCTTGACTGTAGGTCCAGGTGAGTTTAATCTAGGCTTCGTGATTTTTGGCTCGCCTCCCCTCACTAGGGCCGTCCTAGGGCCGCCAACCGGCTTGTGGGGTTTAGGGTTTGTGGTTAAGTTGCAGGGCGAAGGGTGCCGGGTTTATGAATGTAGAGCCCGAAGACCTTTGGAGGAGGTGCCAGACCCCCAAACCGAGCTGAAACCCAGAAGGCTTCTTCTTCCTGGTCATTTAATTATTCATTTTTGATTATTTCGAGGATCGCATAAGCCGTCCACGTTTCGATATGAAGCGGTTTCTCGAAAAATGCTGCACCTGCATTCTTTCAGCGGAGTGGCTTGTCCAGTTTCCGGACCCGGGTAGATCTTGAAGTCTGAATAAAAAGAAACGCTACTCCTGAGGGTTCTTGATTCTGAGCGCCGAAACCTGCTCCTGCCAGGGCCGACCCATCGGTCATCGGCAAGGAAACAGCGACTCTTGGAAGTTTGAGCGACCAGGGTTTACATCGGCAGCCCACCCTAGTTGGGGCTATAAGCAACTCTTACTGGAGTAACCTTATTTAGGACCCTTGTTACTTCGTCATGCGTGTATGGTATTCCGGGTATGCGGGTTTAAGGTTTGCGATTGTAGGGTCCAGGGATTTGGAGTCGGGTTGAGGTTTCATGAAGTATGTCCTATTCTTCATGGTTTAGGGCTGTGAGGTTTAGGGTTAGGCCCCGTAGAGCAACCTGGGAACCGCATGAAACCATGTGATCGTTAGAGGAGCTCCCGTGCACTCGAAACTCCTCAAGACCCGAGGACCCTAAACCTTTAACTCACCAAGCGACTCCACCTAAGCCCAAGAATCCCCGAACCCCCCAGCCTTTAACATCAAGGCCCAAAACCTGAAGCCCCCCCTCCCCCCTCTCGGACGCACCCAAACCCCACATCCGTGCAAACCCCCAACTCGAAAGCTCTTAACGGAAATTGAAGCTCGTAACCCGTCATCCCCGAAATCCCGAAACCACTAAACCCGTAAACCCCAAACCCTAAACCCCTACAACCTCAACCCAAGCACTATATCCTGAAAACTCAACCTCTAAACCCCCAAACCCCTAAACCCACAATCCTCCGAGCTACGTCGGCCGAGGAGCACAGCTCCGAACGAGGAGGCCTCGATTTCCTCTGCGGCGCATGAGCCTTGGAGACGACTTGAGTGCATTGGTTTCTGGTTGTGGGTTGTGGCTGAGTTTAGGGTTTTCTAGGCCGTGAGATGTAAGATACAAAGGTGTAGTTTAGGGTGTAGGGTCCACGATTTAGGCCGCAGGGGTGTGCGGTTCATAGTTGACGTAGGCCGTGGGGCTGAAAGTTCGGGCTTTATAGGGTTCAGGGTTCCAAGTTTCAAGGTTTTGTCTTGAATTTGAGGATTTTGGAGTTTTGTCGCGTGCTCGGTCGTAGACCTTGTAGTTCTAGCTCATGCATCTTCGTCGTTTCAGGTACTATGGCCGCCCTTCCCGGCTCCGGCCTCAGACGATA